ACCTCCGATTCCATCGATTCACGACTCCCCTGGGTCCCGCGCAGTCGTCTCGTCCTCCGGTACTTATCCCCGGTTCTCTAGGAGAGAGGGGGGGGGAGAGAGGTAGGGGCGGGGGGGTTTAGGGTTAGGTACCGGTACTTATCTTGCAACCCCCTCAGTCGCCGCAGCTCCGGTCTTCCTACAGGTCGAATCGTGCAGTCCAGACGCAGGTGGAGTGTGCAGACGGAGGCGGGTACCAAATTCTTTTTCAATTCGAATCTTCCGCCATGTGACCCCCAAACAAGTCAAGTGAGGCCATACTGGCCAGTTCTGGGTGTCAGATTGAAGCACTGTTTCTGGGCTTCCTGAGATGAATGATGGGTTTTGGATATGATGTATGGGATGATGATTGATTGTATTGAATTATCGATGTTTCTTTTTCTTTTTGTCTGCTCTGCTCGTGTTGCTCGGCTTTGTTTTTCCGGTCCGAGTCCCTCGCGCACTAGCCCTATGCGCGACCGGCTGCAACATGCTGCAATTGACTTACACGAGGCAGTTTGCTGCGACACACAACTACTCCCGAAAAGCTCCGAATTTGCGACTCCTTGAGACACTCCACCTGCGTCTGGACTGCACGATTCGACCTGCAGGAGGACCGGAGCTGCGGCGACTGAGGGGGTTGCAAGATAAGTACCGGTACCTAACCCTAAACCCCCCCGCCCCTACCTCTCCCCCCCCCCCTCTCTCCTAGAGAACCGGGGATAAGTACCGGAGGACGAGACGACTGCGCGGGACCCAGGGGAGTCGTGAATCGATGGAATCGGAGGTGGAGGACACGCGTCAGGGGCGGCAATCGACCCGAACACGCGTTAGGACGCCCAAGGCAACCAAGGCGGAGAATATAAGGAGACAACAGGGAAACTCAAGCGATGGAAGCGGGACAGACGAGGTGATCAATGTCGACCAAGAGGCCCCCGGAGCCCCACAATCGACCCGCACTCGAGGCCGACCAAGAACAAGACATGACAAAGGAACAGGTATACCCAAGAGAAGCGCAGGAGCGAGACAGAAGGAAGACCCATTAGCTGTGGTGCTCGCAGCACTCAAAGAGACCCAAGACAGGATGGTAGCCACAATGGAGCGGATGGAAAGAGAACACGCAACCCAGATTAAGACAATAACAAGGACACTCACCCAAGAGGTGGAGGCACTAAAGGTAGAGAACAAAGCAATGGTAGACAAATTCAAGACCCTTCTAGCCAGATCTTATACGCTGCCTAGTGGATTGCCATCTTACGCCGCCGTGGCACGATCGCCCCTAAGCAGCCAGCCCAGTAACCTACAGACCCTTTCCACCAACACGGCACCCTTAACAACAACAGACACACTCTACTGCACAATCAACACATCTAGGATTAAGGAGGTGGACAGGGAGAAGGCGAAACTAGGCAAGATTAGACAAGCCATCAAGGAGGAGATGCGGACAAACTACAAGCGCGCGGAATGGCGATGTGCGGCAGTGGTTAGGGACCCGAGGAACACCAATCGAATCAGAGTCACATGTAGGGACGAAAGTGAGCTCCAGGCGGTCAACGAGGCAGCCCGCAAGACGGCGGCCAGGGGAGTTAGGATACTGCGCGACCAGCTCTTCCCAATCAGGGTAGATAACGCCAACCGGCTAGCGGTGCTGTCAGAGGAAGGACAAATCCGACCAGGAGCCCCAGAGGCTCTCAGGGCCGAAAACAGGGTGCAGGTAGCAAAAGTCAGCTAGCTAAGTAGAAAGGATTCAGGAAAAGCATATAGATTAATGGTGGTGTATGTCACTAAGGGCAGCGATGCAGCCTGGCTGCTACAAGAACAGTACTTCCACATTAACGGAGAATCTGCATACACAAGACCGTTTGAACCGCGAAATGGACTATTGCAGTGCTACCAATGCCAACAGCTAGGGCACAAGGCATTCACATGCACGAGGCAGCGGGTTTGTGCTAGGTGCGCCAGCGAAGGACACCACCACAGCAAATGCCAAGTGATGGTCCCTAAATGCGTACCCTGTGGGGGCCCCCATGAATCTTTCTCTAGGAACTGTCGAGTGCTATACCCTGGTCGGGATGCCTAGGACGCTCAAGATATTCCAACTTAATGCGGGAAAGAGACGCGAGGTACTGCACAGCGTAGTAAATAACAAGCAACTACAAGACTTTGCTGTATTAGCTATTTAAGAACCTCATGCGTGGAGGAACAAAGAAGGGAGGATCATCACAACACCAGCCAGACACGCCCACTGGGCCAAATTTACGCCAACCGCATGTAGGGACGGGAGGTGGCCCTTCCGGAGTATGCTCTGGATACAGAAAGACATCGAGGCTGAACAGCTGCCGGTACAGTCGCCGGACCTCACAGCAGCGACGCTACGACTACCCGGTCGAACGGTCCTGGTAGTGTCAGTCTACGTCGAGATAAGAGATGAGCGAGCACTAAGGGAGACAATAAATCACATCCGGACCCTAATCTAAACCGCACACGACTGAACCAGGACGCGGGTGGACGTGGTCCTGGCAGGTGATTTCAGCCGACACGACTAATTGTGGGGAGGGGATGATGTGTTAAACACTCACCAAGGCGAAGCAGACCCTATTATACACCTCATGGCGGACTATTCACTCCACAGCCTACTTCCTAGGGGCACGAAAACATGGCAGCAAGGAATAAGTGAGAGCACTATTAATTTAATGCTAACCTTAGACAACCTGGCGGCTACAGCACTATGCTGTAAAGTCTATAAGACAGAACATAGGTTAGATTACAGAGCAATTAAAACAACCTTTAATGTAGACACCCTAGGACAGCAAGTAGAAGCAAGACTATTGTTTAAAAATGCACTATAGGAAGCAATACAAACAAGAGTTAAGGAGACGCTTAAAGCTAAACTAATAGGGGGCAGTGTACAGCAACAGACAGATAGGCTGATGGGAGCAGCAATAGAGGCAGTCCACAAGCTGACCCTAAGAGCCAGGCCCTTGCTGTATGCAAAAAGATGGTGGACTGCAGACCTTACGCAGTTGCGAAGGGTATATACGCACTAGAGGAACAAGGCAAAAGTGGAACAGCAGGCAGGAAGGACAAGTATGGAGACAGAACAACAGGCGAAGGCAGCAGCAAAGGAATTTCACAACGCAACGCGGCGGCAGCGCAGAACCCACTAGGAGGACTTTCTGGCGGACAATGCTAACATTTAGAAAGCTACAAGATACCTTAAGCTAGATAGTGCTGCAACATTTAACAAAATACCCCCTCTAGAGAGAACTAACAGATTAAGCACAGGAGGAAATCTAGAGATAGCAGACAAGTTGCTGCAGTTGTTCTTTCCACCGCTCCCAGACACTATTGAGAATGAGGGCGAACGCCAGCAACGTAGCCCGGTTAGCATGCCCGACCTAACCATGGACAAAATAGAATGCTGTCTGTTCGCGGCCAAGCCGTGGAAGGCACCAGGCGATGATGGGCTCCCAGTCATGGTATGGAGGCAGCTATGGCTGGTTGCGAAAGAGAGGATCCTACTTTTGTTTTAAACATCACTAGGGGAGGGGGTCATCCTAGCACAGTGGAGAAACGCTTGGATTGTCCCGCTTAAAAAGCCAGGAAAGGCAACTATAGAGTGGCAAAGTTGTGGAGACCCATCTCTCTACTATTAACTCTTAGCAAGATCCTTAAAGCTGTTGTAGCAGAGAGAATCTTATATGCAACAGAAACATACAGGTTACTTCCTATAAACTACTTTAGTAGAAGGAAACAGCAATTAGCAGAACAAGCGCTATTAATGTTGCAAGAACACATCTACAACGCATGGAGATCTAGGAGAGTGCTAAGTCTAGTAAGCTTTGACGTAAAAGGGGCATACAACAGAGTATGCAAAGACAGGCTAACCCAGAGGCTCCGTGCCAGAGGGATACCACCAGGCCTAGTACAATGGATAGACGCCTTTTGCTCTAATTGTACAGCAACTATTACAGTCAACAGCTACACGTCCGAGGAGAAACTGCTGCCCTAGGCAGGGCTCCCACAGGGATCCCCCCTTTCTCTAATCCTGTTCCTCTTCTTTAACGCTAATCTAGTCTAACACTAGATTAATGCTTATAGCAGTTTATTTGCCTTTATAGACAACTACAACGCTTAGGTGACAGGACCCTTAGCTAAAGAAAATTACGTGAAACTTTAAAACATTATTAAAAGAGCAACAAGGTAGGAGAAGAGAAGCAGGGCAACCTTTAAGGGGGACAAGACCACCCTAATACACTTTATAAGAAATAGAGGCAAAACAAGCGCAAAACTAGTAAGCGTTAAAGGACAGCTAGTTAAACTAACAACAGAAGCTAAGATCCTAGGCGTTATTATAGATACAGGGCTAAGATATAAGCAGCACATAGCAAGGGCAGCAGCAAGGGGCCTAAGGGCAGCCCTAGCGCTGAGGCGGTTACAGATGGTCTCCCCTGCTACAGCCCGGCAGCTTTTCAAGTCAACAGTAGCACCAGTGGTAGACTACGCATCAAGTGTATGGATGCACGCGTGCGGCACAATTTCAATGGGAGCGATAAACAGAATACAGAAAATAGGAGCTTAAGCTGTTACAGGCTGCTTCTAGACAGTTGCTGCGGCTGTGGCAGAGGCAGAAGCGAGTCTACAGACAGTGCATGAACGCCACACAGTAAGGGCTATTAAGATGTGGATTAATGTCCACACGCTGCTAAGGACAAACCCTATGTTAAAATTCTATATTACAGGCTTTTAACAGTTTTAATTACTGCTGCAGAATATTGCAGAATAGCTAGAGGGGCTTAATACTAACTAGATAAAAATAATTAATCCACACAGTGTGCAGCTATAGGACTGTTGCATCTTAGCAATAATTAAACTAGACTAAGCAAAGGCTATAACACTAGCTAACTAGTGTAACTGTATTAGAATTGCAACAATCGCATCTGTCCAGCTTAGTATAGTAGGGATGGGAGGGGCGATAGACGACACGCAGAGGGGAGCGCCCGCTTAAGCTGCTACCTCGTCCTTCACCTTAGGACCCAGGACGGAGCAAAACCCCTACACAGCGGAGCTGGCAGCGATGGCGGCAGCGCTGACCTCCCTCCTGACATGCCAGACGGCGGACCAGGTCATCATTCTCACCAGCAGCCAAGCGGCCATACAGGCAATACGCCAACCGCGGGATCAGTCCAGCCAAGCCAGCATCAAACAGATCTACAACGCGACTTAGGCACTAAGGGAAAGGCGGTGCTCTGTACGTATAGTATGGTGCCTAGCAGGAAGCAACAATTTAGTAAAGAAGGCTAAGGAAGCAGCAAGGAAAGCCACAGCAGACAGCAGCGCGCTAACTAGACCCTTTTACTAAGCAAGGTTAACAGTAACTAGGACCACAGTAAGAAACTAGGGACAGAGAAAAGACTTACTAACAGGAGTAGGGAGATACTCGCGCAAGATGGACATAGCTCTACTAGGGAAACACACTAAGAAGCTCTACAACGCCCTAACCTAGCAAGAAGCAAAGATACTAGCACAATTCAGGGCTTCCAACAGGCCGTACTACGGTCTGTACAAAGTAAACCGTAACGGTCACGTGTTCAGTACAAACGTACCGAGTTCGTGAGCCGTACCGTACGATTAATGATGCCCTAGGTACGGTACGTAGTACGGATGTCTCAAAAATGCCTATTACAGACCATTTTCTATTCCAGAGTTATCTATCCACGCCTCTTGCCGCCTTACAGGCCTCATCTAGTCCTATCTGCTCTTGTTACTAGGGAGAACTAGTTATTTTATAGTTAATTAGACCTTAATCTTGCGTCTCTAGAGACCCATAGTCTTAGCTGTTTCGACTAGAGTACGGCGTACTTTAATCGAATCGTACTACTCGTACAGATCACGTGAGCCGTAACAGTTACGATACGTACACCTACCTCTCCTCCTCCCTGTCGTACGAACGTACACAAAATCTCACCCGTACAGGCCTTAAAATCGCCCAATCGTACAGTACTACGCCTTGTTAGAAGCCCTGAGCACAATTACAAACTAGGATGACACAGCTAAACACATACCTGTACTAAATAGGAGCTGCAGACTCAAACATGTGCATATGTAGTTAGGCAGAAGAAACTATTCAGCACTTCCTCTTCTAATGCTAAAGATGGGACACACTCTAAATACAAATGCTTTAGCAAACAGAGACTAGAAGAGGAAACCTCCCCTTCTTTCTAGGGGGAAAGGCACCAGCAGACCTGGCAGAATGGTTGCTAGACATTAACACAGTAAAGATAACAGTTAGGTACGCAATAGCAACAGGCCGCCTAGAGTAAGAAAGAAGATAGGAACCTAGAACTATAGAGACAATAGTAGAAAAGAGACGCTTAATACTAACCCTACATAACAGCAGGCTCTGCTTTACTTGCTAATAAAAGGACTTTAAACACTTAAAGAAGAGACTTTAAGAACACTTGCTACAAATTACAATTAAGGGGATATGTAACAACTACGCCAGATAGCGGAGCAGGAGGCATGTAAGGGCTACGAGGAGTTAAGCCATCACTAAGGAAGCGCTTAGGTAATAACGCACTAGTGCCCTCTAGGCTAGAGCCGGGCGTAATAAAGACATCATCATCATCATCATGCTGCAAGTTGTTGCAAAATGCTGCAACATGCAATTTGCAGCAACATACTGTTCGAGCTTATTGCTCGTACTATGTAGCAGCTTTCGTCCAGCGTTCCTCCTGTCTTGACAGTAGGTGCGCATATCTGACACTGGGACATCCGGCCTTACAGTGTGCCTATAACGCTTGCACCCTAAGCAGTGCCTGCTACATATTGGTATGATTGAAACGTATTTCGTAGGCTGTGGGTCTACGAAATTTAGCAGGTTCGGGTCGCATTGCTGATCATAGCAATTCCGAGCTATATAGGTGTTGGCACCGGTTACCTAATTAGCTTACTAGATCAAGTTAGAGCTATTGTATTATAAATTTACGTTTTCTTCCTTTTCCGTCTACAGTATTAGACTGTTGTGTGCTTTCCGATACTGCAAATTGCTAAAAGGGATGAACTAAGAGTTGCGCAAGTTGCAGATAATATAATTACAATAAAAGGATTAATTAAGTAACAAGCAAAATTGCCTAGCTCTAATACTATCAGATAGGAGGCTGGATAGGAATACGTAAATAGGAAGATACAACACTGAATATTTCCTAAATCTTTTTACTGTTAGGCTTTGGCAGGTTTAAGGGAGGCCCGTTAGGGGACCTATTGAATTCCGTGGGCTCCCGACCCTGATAAAAACATCCCCTGGGGCTAAATAACATCCATAGCGTTTATGTATTTTGTAAGTCAGAGGCGCCAATAGTACTGCCGCACTACGAATCATATATCCCGAGTAATGTAAGAGAATTAACTAGAAAATTCATGTTCCAGGTGACGGCAGCAGAACGAATATAAGCCTATGAGAACTCTAATTACGATACGTCGCTAAATAGAAGACTTTGGTTATAGCCGACGATCAGTGAAGAGAAAGCTATTGGAACGCAGAAACGTAGTGTATTTTTGCAATATTTTGTACACTGGATCCAGTTGAGACCGTTGGTGTAAGGGAAGGTTACCTCGTTTCGATCGGCAGGTAGGTAGTTCTACCTGGGCCGATTTGCCAGCAAAATACTCCGGCGCCCAGCGTCAAAAACGCTGTGTAATCCATTCAGGAACGGATTGCCTAGCAAAATGAATCCCTGCTTACTTCTCTCCTCACCCATGCCAATGAACGCCGAGACACACTTGATTTTGTTCACTTGGTCATCTTCGGCTTCAATCAGGTAGTCCCAAGGAGTTAACTCAATTTGCTGACCCAACGGCCCAAGTGCAAGACGCCAGTTGGGCAGTTCTTCACGTTTTTCGCACTCGACCCAGTCGAACACGTCTCTGACGCCGATTTGCTCGTTTGCCCGCCTTGCGATATGCTCTGGAAGAGCGATCCACGGAAACGAACTCGAGATCATTGCCGTAGTATTTTCCGTCGTAAGTGGAGTAGGCGGACCAGACGCGTTAAACGTCATGGACATGTTCTGGAGAGCAACCTGCCACCCGTTGCTTGCGTAGAACTCCCACAATCTGTCACCCAGTCCTGCTTCCGTTGTTAATGGAAGCTCTATTGCTGTGGTATTGTCCATATCTTCAGGCCGACCGCCGAGGATCAGTTCGCCTCCCTCTTGGCTAGACCTCCCAAGACGCAGACTGAATATTGGCTCATCCAGAAGTCTTTTCTCTACCATGCTCTGGAAAGGATATGAAGCATTTGGGGGAAAATTATTCCAATTGTCCTTGATTGGACGGAGGGCAAGTCCAAGTGCGGTGTCGAATAGATCGTCGCGCTCCATGGGTGTAGGGTAATACACAACTGCTTCCTCAAACAACTGGTCTGCGATTTCAAGATCGGAAATGTGAATACTATCACGCGACACGTTGCCCCAAGTGTGAATACCCGCTTGCCCAGGATATTCCAATTTGCATGACCTGAGATCGGCTTTGTAGGTGGATGAAGAAGAAGAATTGTACAATGGATGAATTTCGCAGTACAATTTATCATAGTCATCGTAGGTGCAGTTTGTAGAAGGGACAAACAACGGCCCCCAACTGGTATCAAGTTGCGCTCGGAACCCAACGGGAGGATTTCCAAGTCCGATGTCGACAACGTACATACTAGAGAAAACTGTGTCATCTTGACCGTCGCCATTATTGCCATTTCGCAGAACGGACAGTCTCAGAGGCTTTTGGAAGATATCGGAAAAGCTGTCCATCGACCTAGCTCGAGGACTTGCGCCGTCCCAAAGTGGAGAGGACGGAAGTCTCAATTGCCCTTGAACACGACTGAACTATGCTTTAGTTTAGCTTCACGATTCGAAGAGGAACATACCTCTCCAAGGCGCCTACGAAGTTTGGCTCGTGCAAAAATTTAATATTCCACCCCGTTGTGTATCTCGTTATGGGTAAGCGCAGGACAACAGCATTCACCTGAGAGGACCGAAATATCAAGCAAAGACAGGTAAAGGCGAAGAAAATGCTGAACTCCATGTTGTGAGTGTGAAGCTCTGATTGTGGGGCGAAGGCATGTTGTTGGGCCTTTTGACGTGATGGGCTGTGCCGCATGCGTTGGCACAAATGAAACGTGGCAGTGCAGCTCACTTCATCAGGTTTTAACCTCTCATTACAACAACAATCCTGCAATTCTCAATCACATGCTTCATCAGTGTGATATACGTGTAAGTATCTTCTACTTCTTTGTTTTTGTGACTACTACAGCGCATAGTATTCCTGATGAGCGCTGCCACACTCCCGGGTCACTTTCTCGCAGTTTATGGTGTCTTCACTTCAGTGCAGGTTGGCGAGATGAAGTGCCTCCAAACTCTGGCTCGAGAGCTCGGCTTCATATTCTTTTAATTACTATGCCTTAATCCTACGAACAAATCGCCACTGGCTTTCATTATTTCTAGAGCGGCGGTTTCTTATAGCAACTCGCGTGTCCTTTCAGCCTTGCCTGAATAGTCTCCTCGAACCCTTCAGTGTGCGTCGTGTATTAAGGCGTTGAGAGCTACTCCAATTGAGATTTTGACACGTACTTCTTCTTATTCCTCGCTACCAATGCTATTTACGCCTCACTGCTCCAATTTTGCTCCTACGGGATTCAGATCCATTTGAACACTCATCCCAGTTCCTCTACAAGCTATCGTTAGAGCTCCCCAAGACATTTTCACCACGTCTACGCATCGATTCGATTCAGAGCACGATTTAAGGGGAGTGGAAGGGGGCCCTATCGCTATGGATCGATTGTTCGCCTCAAAAGTGTGTTGGAGAGTCTGCGCCAGTTGATCCGTCTCAGTTCGGAGCATATGTATCCCATTTTGCTCCCCGAAATATAGACTGTCATGGCTTCCGTCAAAGGGTTCATATGAGATCTCCAGGAATCAATCTCTGCATTATTTAGTACTATCTTGAAACCACTTTGATCTCAGATCTTACTTCTCTACCCGTCTCTCTGCCAAACATGCATTTTCTCTTATGGTATATAGGAGCCGGAGGAGCTTTAGTTGCGCTATCCACCGCTAGTAAGTCATAACTCCATCTAAAAAACGTTTAGATCATGGCTAAGAAAGTTTCTCCAGATGCCTCTGACAATGATACCGATACGAACGGTCCTGAAACACCTTCTCTCGTGGATCTGAACTTCCCTGATTTCAATGAATCAGCAAACTTTCCACCCCTACATCCCGCTGAGTGAGTTGCTGTAGGCGACTCTTTCGCTGCAGGCCCTGGTGCTGGGAAGGCTTTCGATAACGATGCGAAGTGCATGAGACGGTTCGAAGCATACCCCAACTCTATGCAAACTCACAAGTACATGCCCGGACCCCACGAACCACAACCTGGAGATCCTAAACCGAAAGACAATTTCGTGGCGTGTACTGGGGCTAAAACTAGGCATTTACTCAATTTCACGATGCCTAACAAACAACTTAAATCGATCAATTCGGATGGTTCAGAGAATTTTAAGACGTCCTTTGCTACACTGTCCATCGGCGGAAACGACATCGGATTCAGTAAGATCCTCAGAGGTTGCCTCCTCACTTTGAAGTCTCATTGCGACGAAAGTCTCGCAAACGCAACGAATGAACTATATTGCGGCAGCTTCTTCGCCAAGTACAATAACGTACTTACGGAAATGATAGAGAAACGATTCCACCTTACCCCGGACGCCGATTTTGCATATCGCACTTGGGTCTACCAAACCAGTTACTCCCAGTTCTTCGAAGAAGACACAACACAGTGCAATAAAGCCAGTTTCCTGCCTTTTGGGCCGTACGCTACGCAAGAATTGCGCAAAAAGTTGAACCGCTTGACGCAGTCCCTCAACTACGTTCTACAGTACTGGATCGACATGAGGAACGTGCATTGGACACTCGATAAGTCCATGTGGGGTGATAAATACTTCACAGCCATAGACTGGGTGAACGTGGATTGGGTATATACTGGACACAGGTTCTGTAGAGAAGGAGTAAATGAGCCAAATTACAAAGACCCAGACACGTGGTTCTATTACCTCCCTATTCCTCGTGCGCTGGATGGTAATTGCAGCGAAGTGGAAGTGGGCGAGGCCATCGAGAAGTTTACGTGGGAGCCTGACGAACCCGGAGAATATACGTGGAACTTGGATGACCCAAGTTCCCTTGGAGACCTTGGAGACAAGGTGAATTGGGTTCGTACCTTTCATCCTAAGTCAGCAGGACACGCTCAGACACGAAACATGATGTTTTTGAAGCTATACTATGACCTAGCGCTCAAAGGGCTCTCTAAAAACGTTTCGTTATAATGTGCGTTGGCGATATTGTTTCCTTAGGGAAACATAGACGCCCTAGTGGCGAATGGCGATATGGCTATCTTGCTTGGCTGCATGCACTTCTGAACAGCCCTCATATCTTCCCTGGCAGGAAAGTCACTCACCGATTCTTAGGCTCTCGAGGGGAGCCCTATCTCGACGACTTGAAACATGAGATTTATCCGGATGCACGAACCCTTCGGCACATAATAGCGAAATTTTATATGTCAAGCGTGAGGCGAATTCCTATAGGAAAAGTTGTTCCAGTCATGGTTGGGTCAAGAGATCTAATGATGGGACGCGATGTTGAAGAAGTAGGAATGGATATCAGAAGGTTGCTGGATCTTCTCTGGGAGTTCGACCCAAAGGCCAGGGCTTCCAACGAGGCGTAGTACTGTACGATTGGGCGATTTTGAGGCCTGTACGGGTGAGATTTTGGGTACGTTCGTACGACAGGGAGGAGGAGAGGTAGGTGTACGTATTGTAACTGTTACGGCTCACGTGATCTGTACAAGTAGTACAATTTAATTAAAGTACGCTGTACTCTAGTTAAAACAGCTAAGATTATAGGTCTCTAGAGACGCAAGATTAAGGTCTAATTAACTATAAAATAACTAATTCTTTCTAGTAACAAGAGCAGAGAGGTCTAAAAGCTTGCTGCTTACTACCTTATGCTATAGCTAGTTCTTTTAAAGTTAAATAGCCTTAATTATTACACTTTTTAGTAAGCCTTAATTATTAGTTACTATATAACTAGCTGCGCTAAAACACCTCTTACACTTACAACTAGTAGCTAGGATAGTAAGGAAATTAAGGGCAATCTTAAAAAAAATAGAATAGGCTGTTTTGCCTCTAGTAAACCACTATTATAAGAGTTCTCTGTGTAGTAAAGGGTAATTTTTATAGTAATTAGCTTTTATAGAGTTATAGTAGAGCTATAGCTTATTTAACACCTTCTTACACTTATGTAAGCGCTAATTTGTTATAAAAAAAAGGTTAATAAAAAGGCAAGCCTTATAATTATTATTATAATAGTTGCTACCTAGCAGCTTACAACACCTAGAAGATAATAGCTTATTTTTAACTTTATACTTATCCTTAGCATTTAAATACTAGTTAAAGATTATCTTTATTAACCTAGTTACCTTATCTACTTAGCTTTTATAATGCTGCTAGTAATTTTAAAACTAAAGTAAGCGCAATTAAAGGTTAAAGATAGTAGTAACTGTGTAGTATAAGACTAGCAAATTAAAAATTAGTTTACCTTAGTAAGTAGTAAGCTTTTAATAGCTAAACTTAATAGTGTTTTTAAAGTATAAGTTACTTAGCTTATTAGCAGTAATTACTTTTATTTAATTAAGGTAGATTTAGAGGCACTAAAGCTCTATTATAGTCCTCTATAGTAAGCTAGATAAGCCTTAGCCCTTAAGTCTGTTTATTATCTAATAAAACTTCTTTAAAAAGTCTTTAAGGCGCTTAATCTTATCCTAATTATCTTTAGTAATAAGATCTACTAGGGCATTAAAGCTAGCTTATTAAGTTTTTTTATTAGCATTAAAAAAGCCTTTTTATTACTGTTAAAAGCAACTAATAGCCTCTCTAAGCTTATAACAGCGTAATAGCATAAAGTAAACTAAGTGCTAGTGTACTCTGCTATTGCGCACTAGATTAAGCGTGCTAAACTGCTAAATTAAGTCCTTCTTTATAATGTTAATTTAGAGAGTTTTAAAAAGCCTTATATGCTTATGTAATGCTAGCACGCTGTTTATAAAGTTATAAAGTTGTCTAACAACTTTACGCTTTCTGTATAGCTTAAATTAATTGCGTAGAGTAGCTCTAGTAAGCTCCTGCTTAAATTTTATAACACTTTTGCTATATATAATAGCTTTAACAACTACCTAGATTATATAAGTAGCGCAGTAGATTTAGTGCTGTTTATTAAGCTTATATAGCAGGTTAAGCTCCTTATTAAGGCTTTAGATAAGCTTGTTATTATTATTTAACACATTATCCTTAATAAAGTAGCTAAATTTTAACATAATATTATACTTATTAATAACAGCAGCTATCTTAGAGGCTTGCGCACTACTAGTATAGTTACTATATAGGTTTTTAAAGCTAATTAAGAGGTCTTACTAAGCGTGTAAAGCATCTAGCTGTTATTAGTTACAGAGTTCTTATAATAGTAGCCTATGCGCGCATACTAACAAAGTAAGCTACTACTGTAAGAAAGGAAAGGTAGTTTCTAGAACACTATATATCTACACTTAGCATAATTTTTAACAGTGTAGTAATTAGTATTATTTAAATCTCCTTTTTTTGCTGTACAAGTGCAGCGTAGATATCCTTAGAAAGTGTAGTAGTAAAATGTAGTAAGGTAGTAAAAAAATTTATGTAATTCTAGCTAATAAAACTATAAGTTTTTAATAAAATAGCCTTTTTAAATAACTAATCCTACACTATAACCTAGTTAACTAGGGCACTGCGCAGAGAACCCTCCTGCTATAGTGTATAAGATAACCCCTGCAACAAGCCTGCTACTCCTCTAGCTGCCTCCTATGGGTGCTGCAGTAGCTGTACGCTATTAGGTAAGAGCTCTTTATTAATGTTAACCTTATGCTTCTTTAGTAGGTGCTAAATAATATAGTTATAGCTATCTACTACTTTTGCAGCGCCTTAAGAGCCCTGCTTATAACACTAACAGTAGAGCTAGAGGCAGATTACCTTACCTTACTTCTCTAAGAGTGTTATATCTGCGCTATAAGCTTACACCTTTAATAGTATATAATTACTTTATAAAGTAGTCTTGTTCTTTACTTAGTAACCTAATTACACTAAAGGCAACACCTGTTTTAAGTCTAATAGCTATATATTATTCTAATTAATTATAAACTTAACACTAGTGTTATAATTGCAGTTCTCTAGGAACTGCTGCAATTAATCTTTAGCTACAGATAGTGTACTATTACAGAATAAAGTAGAAGACATAGTGTAGAGGGCTTTTAACTTCTACAGCCTATAAAACTATGTAAAATAGACAACAGAGGGATCTAATTAACTAGATAAGGCCTATAAGGCAGTAAGACACATAGATAGATAACTCTATAATAGAAAATAGTCTATAATAGGCATTTTTAAGACAATAGACTGCAGATAGATAGATTAAACCCCTTAGAAAGAGATTTAAGCGCCCTTATAAAACTTTTAGCTAATTAGAGCTTTAGAAGCTCTCCCTGCAGACCTCCTGCTTACTAGAGTCCTCCTACTCCTCTAGAATCGCTATAAAAACTTCCTAAAAGGGTAATATAATCTGTACTACGTACTGTACCTAGGGCATCATTAACTGTACGGTGCGGCTCACGAACTCAGTACGTTCGTACTGAACATGTGACCGTTACGGTTCACTTTGTACGGACCGTAGTACGGCCCGTTGGAAGCCCTGCCCAAAGGCCTCGTACTCTTGGCTCAAATACCTATGATCTGGCTAGGTGATGATGGCTCGATATTTCTTCCCACCCAGCGGAAAATTGTAGAATATAACGCGCTTATCGCAGGCCTAGTGGACGAACTCGACAACCACGGAAAAAAAATCGTGAAAGTGCACATCTCAAGCACCCCTCAGAAGCATCTGGAAGAGAATTTCCTTTTACCCAACAATAAAGGGTATCTCCGAATGGCCTGGGACTGGTTAGAAGCTATCGTAATCTCTGAGAAACGAGGTTTCCTTGATGGCTCTGAGTGGGATAATCCGGACGACGGTAAGGCTGGTGGGTTGTCGGACGGACCTCCAGCTCCAACTCCCGAGCAGCAAAAGGTTGTTTTTATACAGGAGAGACCAAAAGACGCACCCTCCGCAGATGACATAAAAGACTCGCTTTATAGTGGTAAGAAAGAGATGGACTTCATTACGAAATTCGCCTGCGATGAGCGGTATATCTGCGGCTTCAGCTGGGACAGTAATGTAAACATCGTAGCTGGGGCGAAAACTGATGAAGAACAATGACCTCTGACTAAACACCAATCAGATTATAAACTTAAACAATCCAGTTCTCAACAACGGCACTGTTTGTGTGTTGGCAGGTGGATACGATACAACTCAACCTATCATCAACTGGTGGTCAAACGCCAGGAACGCGAGAATCTGGATAAGCTGGCAAATACTGTCTGTTCATTTGCTGTAAAAGTATGTCATCACCCTACAGCCTTTTAGTTACCACATTCTTACAAAAACTATCAGGCAATCCTCGATGAGTGCATAACGAACGGAAATTTCTACGGCGGCTACTACGCGCTCGGAGGTCTCTTGGTCAATCTTACAAATTTAGTTAGCTCGTCGTTGTTTCCTACTGATGAAGAATTTGGAATGCTAACATTTGCGTAGCAATATCCGAAGTCACCCCTAGACTTTGTCCCATCTTGGTAAGACATACCTGCTAACGTGGCGAGTTCTATACTTGCGAGCGGTCTTGCATGAGCTGAGGAGGGGACATATGGCAAACGACTCGACAAGGGATCGAGATCCAAACAAGGTGGAATGAGTGTATTGTAAGGTCTGAGGAGCTCGATAGAGCTCTAAGCTGACTATATACTGTACGAGATA